CAAGGCTGCAAAGAACTATGATCACACCACTGCACTCCAGCCTGTGCAATAGAGCGAGAGACCCTGTCTCTCAAAAAGGGGAAGAAGAAAGAAAAACCCGAAAAGCACATTATGAACACATGACATTAACTTAGGCAAATTTAACTCCAGCACAGGACATGTAATTTTAGGTCCTTAGGAAGGACTTCAAGATTAATTAAGATATAGAACAGTTTATATGCCTCAAAACTGTCACATATTTGTCAGATGACAACCTCTGGCCCTCAAGATGGAATGAAAATGCTTGTTCTCATAAATATCACTAACCTGAAATTTGTCCATCATGTTGTACATAACCAGTCCCTAGCTAGGGTGTCAGATACAAAGGAAAAATAATTAAAACTGTAATGGTGATAGAAGATTCCCTGGTAGAATTTATTAAAACAGTTTCTTGGGCCCCATCCTCAAAATTTTTTATTCATTATATCTGGGTGTGGCTCATTTCTAATAAGCTTGCAGGTGACACCAATGCTGTTGATCTAAGGATGACAATCAAAAACTTTGTTGGTAATGTTTATTGACATTTACTATGTTAACCACATTGACAGTGGCATCCAGGGTTCCCACCCCAGACAAGCAAAATATAAATCTTTATAGTCAGCCAGGGAATTTGCACTTTAAGTACTAATGTGAACAAGAAAATATAAGAATACTACCATAAGTAGGCACGTGTTAGTATTTTGTCTATTCTATACAACTGAAAATACAGGAACCTACTTAGTACTTTGATGTCCTAAAATTGTATTAGGCCCATTTGGATTAGATTTGAAACTCTGTATCCTCAGCTGAAGCATAAATTTTTGGGCTACTTGAGAAGAAATGCTAAAAATTCAAAAAATGTTAAGGATAAAATATAATTTTATTTAAAACATTTAGTCTTTTAGTTACAAAAAAATCTATGTATATGCTTTTAATCAGCACCTAAAACAACTTGAAATCTGTGTTAGAAATCTAGGAACCTACCCAAAAGATACTCAAAAGTTTCCTGGCCAGGCACAATGGCTCACACCTATAATCTCAGCACTTTGAAAGTTCAACGGGGACGGATCACTTGAGGCCAGGAGTTCAAGATCAGCCTGGCCAAATGGTGAAACCCGATCTCTACTAAAAATACAAAAATTAGCCAGGGGTGGTGGCAGTGCCTGTAGTCCCATTTCCTCTGGGGGCTGAGGCAGGAGAATCACTTTAACCCAGAAAGTGGAGGTTGCAGTGAACTGAGATTGAGCCACTGCACTCCACCCTGGGCAACAGAGTGAGGCTCTGTCTCAAAAAACAAAACCTTTCTAACTGAATTTTTTGACTAGATATCAACATATAATTTGAAATTTTTATTTTTGTATTCATGCTACATTTTTTAAACACTACTTATTTTATCAAGACTTGCATTTCTAATCTAGTTTTTAAGTCTGGTTTCTTATAGCCTCTTAAAAACATGATCTTTTCTTTTTTTTTTTTAAAGATGGTTTCACCACCATGTTGGCCAGGATGGTCTCAATCTCCTGACCTTGTGATCTGCTCACCTCAGCCTCCCAAAGTGCTGAGATTACAGGCGTGAGCCACTGTGCCCGGCTAAAACATAATCTTTTCTATTGATGCCTTAGAAAAAGTGTCCCCTCCAGTCTTAAAATTCTGTTAAATTTCACCATTTTTTTTTAGGATGTTAATTGGGCAGTCTAATTATTCTATTGGAGACATATAGCTAGTAAAATCTTATATTTCTAAAAGTTGATTTTACAGTGGAATAATTGTAGAAGCCTGGGGGTTCCTAAAGAGATAATTTAAGTTTATTTATTTTCATTAATTAGTGAAAAAGTATTGTCAAAAGACGTGCTTAAGTATTTGGTGTAAAAAAATTGAGTCATTGATGATTTTGAAGATACGATTTTCTTCAACTAGAAAATATCCAGAGAAAAATTTACCATCATCCAAAATAGGACTTGAGTGGCAGAAAAAAGTCAAATGGAAAACCATGCTAATACCTCTTACTCATACACTGTCCCTCTGCCATTTGTGGTGTCTGATTAAGGAATTCCAAATTGATGACTGAAACACTATAAACTTAATCTCATGACCCAGTAATATTTTCACAGCACTGTCTTCCTGAGTGCTCTGCTTTGAGAGAGGAAGAACTTTATAAATACCATTGCGTACTACTTTTTTGGCTGGGACAAATAGTAAGCACCTAGGTGATTCTGCAATATTCTGTTTTTGGTTTTTGCACTGTCTTAAACTTCTTTAGAAATTTTTAGAGAAAAGTTAATCCCTGTTTGCATTTATAACTGCAAAGCTAAATGGATTCAGAAATGATGCATAGACCTATTTGGTTAAAAATTAGTGAAATACATATTAGGAAACATATCACCTAAAATATTAATTTCATTTTAACAGTTAATAAATTGTACTGTGACTAAGTATATAGCATGATAATTTCCATTTGGAACATGAGATTTTTATGAACTGTGGTTTTCATAAGGTAACAGAAAATAAGCGTTTATAATTTCTATGAAAGTTTAAAAATCTGTCACCAATTTTAACTTTGTTCAAATACCAGAAGGGAGGAGTTGAGTGATTTGGTTTGTGGAAGTTGAGAGATGACTCTAGCCATTCTTTATTTCTTGTCATTCAGCCAGTTCATATATTTTAATAACCAATCTTCAGTTTGAAATGTAATCTGTGAACTATAAATCTAGAGTAATATTCCAATATCTATCATTTGTTGCTGTTGTTTTAAGACAGGGTCTCACTCTCATTACCCAGGCTGGAGTGCAGTGGAGCAGTCACAGCTCTCCAAAGCCTTGACTTCCTGGGCTCAGGTGATCCTCCTACCTCAGCCTCCCAAGTAGCTGGGACTACAGGCACACCACCACACCTGGCTTATTTTGGGGGATGTTTTGGTTGGTTGGTTGGTTGGTTGGCTGGTTGGTTGGTTGGTTGGTTGTTTTTTTGTTTTTTTGTTTTTTTGTTTTGTAAAGATGGTATTTAACCATGTTGCCTAGGCTGGTCTCGAACTTCTGAGCTCAAGTAGTCTGCCCACCTCAGCCTCACAAAGTGCTGGGATTATAGGCTTGAGCCACCATGCCCAGCTGTTACATTTTAAAAGACATTTTGAAGCCTTAAATTTCCTTTTATGCCTAATTTTATGTCATCATTCTCATTCAGAAACAGACATAGAGTGACTTCTTTTGAGACTTTAAAGTTTGAGGTAATGCAATAGCCAAACAAAAGTGCTTAGGATACAATTTAAAAAAGGGAACTGCAGTATGGAGTACTGAGAACTGCAGGTATGGAGTCATATTCCTAGAAACAGGAAGATAAGCATATATGAATTACCTAACCAAAAATGTAAAGAGCAACATACCAAAACCTTGAAGAGCATCCTGAAACAATAAAGAACAGCTGGCATCAAATAGAATAATCATGAAGACCCAGGGAAACTTGGATCCCATTTTGTCACAGAGTCTAAAGGAAAAGAACTTGTAAAAGAAAGGGTATGGTCAGAAATGCTGAATGCTGCAAAGATGGAAGGAATAGGGAACAGAGAGGGTTGATTAATGTACTTAACACATGGAGGACATTGTTTAAACTAGCCTATAGTATTTGGCAGCATGATGGGAATGAGAAATACATAACCAGGAAAAAGGCGATAAATAGAAAAGGGAACAACTAGTATAGCGCACTCATCATGAATTATACCGAAAGTAGAAACATAAAGTGGGACTTGGTTAGAAAGGCAGGATTCCTGAACAGGGAGAGAAACTACTTTATAAATTCATTTAAACATACACACCCTTTATAGGTATTTGTCACCTGAAGAGAAAGGCATTATAATAATGTTAGAATGAAGTTCCTTTCTACTGCTGTATACCAGTAAACTGTGTTTATATTGTAATTTTAGTTATCTAAATTCCAACTCCTTTTTGGAAATCCTTATGCATGTACAGAAATACGACCCCATAATTCCGTACTTAGTGGTCATTTGATTTAACATTCATTAAGATCTTAAATATGTGTGCAGATTTTCCTTTGGAATGCTGAAAATGCATGTAGATTAAACAGATCTTTACATCTAAAATTTCTACTTACTTTGAGTTGTGGAAAAACAACCTCATACCATGTCTTCAAGTTTTACCAAACAGAGCATGTTCAATCAAGATGAACTAGTATTAGATGCAATATTTAAAAGCTGTATCTAAAATTAGCTGGGCATGGTGGCACGTGCCTGTAATCCCAGCTACTCAGGAGGCTGAGGCAGGAGAATTGCCTGAACCCAGGAGGTGGAGGTTGTGGTGAGCCGAGATCGCGCCATTGCACTCCAGCCTGGGTAACAAGAGCGAAACTCCGTCTCAAAAAAAAAAAAAAAAAAAAAAAAAAAGCTGTATCTAAATATAATTGAAGTTAGAAACTTTAAACAGTATATGTCTAAATGCATGTCATTTAAATTTAGAATTCTCATATAGATGCTTTACCTTCTTATATACTCACAAATAATTATTGAATACTTTCTTCCTTTCTCCCCTGGTTTATTCTAAAAAGGATTTCAGTAATTTACAGTTAACACATATAAATCAAGATTAACTATATAAATAGATATAGAAGTCAGGATGAATGGAAAATAAATGTAGTCACAGTAAGATGAAATTAGAGAAGTTAGTTGGTAGGAGCAATAAGGGCCTCTGCAGTTGTTAAAATTAATCTGCAAATGTATGGGCTTTTTTGGATTCTGATTCAGACTAACCAACTGGGAGGAAAAACAGTTAAGAAGTTGGGAAAAAATTGAACACAAACTGGTTATTGGATTGGGACTGATAATGGTATGCACTGATTAAAACAAAAAATCCCTTATTTTTTAGGGATATATATACTATAGTATTTACAGGTGAAATTAAGTGTGTCTAGAATTTGCTTTGGGCTATTCCAGTAAAAGAGGGTGTTGGAGGGAAGCTGCAGGGATTGTAGAAAAAATAAGTATGGCAGAATGTTAAATTTTGAATGTGATCCTTTTGCAGGCGCCATACTAATCTTCTCTGTGTCGTTCCCATTTTGGTATATGTATGTGCTGCTGAAGCAAGCACTAGAATGTTAATTTTTGAAGCTGAGTTTCTGATATTAGGTACACGAGGGTTAATGTATATTTCAAAATTTCTATAATAAAGTTTAAATAAAAATGGGTTGCAAATTTGGTGCTTAGATTCATAATGGCTAAAAAATGATTTTAGTTTCAGTTCTTTAAAATGGAATGTTTTATGTTATCAAATATATGTAAAAGTAAGCAGTCAAAATAAGGAAAAATAGAGCTATGAAAAGCAATTTATATATAATACAAATCTGCTTAAACTCTCTTTTGTATGTCTTTAGGTACCTAACATCCTTCCTGGCATATAGGAAGCACACAGCAAATGCTGTTGAACTGAACTAATCTGTATCTTACAACAGTAAAAGTGTTTAATTTTTTAGATTTGGAATTTTCATTTTTTTCAGAACTTGTCTTAGAATGATTGTTAGAAATGGAGAGTGTAATGTTGGTCTTGTTTTTTGTTAAGATAATTTTGGTTTTATGATGTTAGATTTTTATCAAATAAGGTTGTTTTACAATGTTGGGTTTGAAAATATAAAAATCTTTAAATAACTGTTTTGCTGTGTCAATGTTCAGACTTCTCTATATTTTGGTTGTTCAGTATGGTGTTAGATTTCCATGAGTGTTAAATGTTTGGTTGACTTGCCAAAAGCAAGTTACGTTTTTCTGTTGAAATAAGAGGCTCAGCTTAGCCTTGAATTGCATGTTTTTAGTTGAAACATACTGGGTATAAGGAAATTCAGATCTGCAAACATTCATTTGTCAGGAGTAAGGCTGCATTTTCTCTCTTCATGAAACCACTTCGGCTAAATGGGAGCCTTACCTTTCTCTGTCTGAAGAGACGATATGTTACACCTAGCCCAAACTGGCCAAAATTAGTTTAATTCTAGGTAAGTGGTTTGATGTCTAGTTAATGTATGATATTCTTAGCATTTTTTTCTCTTCTTTCTCTAGAAAGCCACTAGAGCAGAGTTGCTAGTGAACAGTTTAATTTCTACATTACGTCACAGAAAGAGAGCTAAAGGGCTCTGGTTATCATCCACAGACTGACTAGTCAACCCTTAAATAACCTGATATTAACTCCACAAATGTTAGCTAGATTGGACCATGTGTAATCTGAGTCAGAAGTTGGAATCAGAAGAGATAAATGATGTGTTATCACTCATCAGTAATGTCTGTAATAGTGTTGTAAAATTGTTATACTTTTTTACCTGTCGACCACGTCCACAATCTCTCTACCTATGGTATTTATCTTGATGCTTCCTCTTCCTTGCTTTTTCTTTTATTATCTCTTCTCTCTTACATACATAAATGCCTAGCATACTGCCACATATATGGTAAACACAGTTCATTATTTTTTTTTCTTTTCTAATGTCATCTTCCCCCTCAGCCTATGAACATAAACACATCTTGCATTTTTAAAACCAAAAACCATACACTTATTCCATGTACCATCCTTTAGCTTTTCTTTCTTTGACAACCACCTACTTTTAAAAAGCTATACTTAATGTTGCTTGCCACCTATTCAGGATTTAACAAAGTTCTTATTTGTCCTTTTTAACCTAGTTTATTTGCCTTTCTTTAGTATTTCTTTTTGATAACCATCTCCTAAAGAAATTCCCTGAATTTGAATGCATGATACCACCTTTTATCCCAAGGACTTCGCCTCTCTGACCAGTCATTTGTCTGTCTAGCTCACTTCCTCTTTAGGGTTGCCATATTTGGTTTTGCACAGCTCCAGGGGACATCATTCATATCATATGTAGTCCATGTAACAGGCCCTCCCTGGCATGGTGCAGTGCAGCTTCACTGACTACAGCAGCAGCTCTGCTCAGACCTTAAATGCATTGACATTCACTGATTTCTGTCAGAACTCTTTTTTTCATATCATAGTAGGTGTTCACAATTAGGTGATTCTGTGCTGATCTCTCTTCCAGCTCAAACTGACACAGATATGCCATTCTTTATTTCTAGACTAGACCACTTTTCTGAATTCCATATTTTTTGTAAATTTCATGTAGAACTTACCACCTCAGATTAAACCAAAACTTTTTACTCCTCCCACTCACATCCCCTCAACCATTTCCTGTATTCCCTATTTCAGGTACCATCTAAGAACCATCCTGAATTCCTTCTCCAGCCTTCCTTCTCTTGTCTAATTAGTCAGCAAGTCGTGCAGATTCTACCTCCTAATCTGAAGTTTTCAAATATTTTGATCTTGGTACCCCTTTACATTCTTAAAAATTATTAAAGACCCAAAGAACTTCTGTTATATGGGTTATATCTGTTAATGTTTGTTATGCTTGAAATTGAAATAAGATTTTAAGGTATTTTTAAGTAACAATACAAACCATTGTATTTTGACATAAATAACATCTTTTTGAAAATAACTTTTTCAAAACAATAAAATTACCAAAAAGGGTTGCATTGTTTTTTATTTTTGCAAATGTCTTTACTATCTGACTGAACAGAGGACAGCTAAATGCTTGTATATGCATCTGCATTTAATGTATTATAATACAATATTTGGGTTGAAGTACATGAAGCAAATTCAGCCTCATACACATACATAGTTGAAAAGGAGTATTTTCAGATGATTAATACCACATCAACCAGTGTAGTGGTTTAAGTCTTCAAATTTGATGATGGTATCTGAAACCATATCAGTGAACCTTTTATAATAGTAAAATCTTTCACATGTAGTTTCATGCATTTTGGTCATTTGGAAAATACTGATTCACTGAGTTAGGCAGTGAAGATCTAGGATTGCCGCGTCAAATGGTATTTCTGGTTCTAGATGTTTGAGGAATCGACACACTGTCTTCCACAGTGGTTGAACTAATTTACACTCCCACCAACAGTATAAAAGCATTCCTGTTTCTCCACAGCCTCGCCAGCATCTGTTGTTTCCTGACTTTTTAATAATTGCCATTCTGACTGGTGTGAAATGGTATCTCATTGTGGTTTTGATTTGCATTTCTCTAATGACCAGTGATGATGAGCTTTTTTCATTTGTTTGTTGGCCACATAAATGTCTTCTTTTGAGAAGTGACTGTTCATATCTTTCACTCACTTTTTGATGGGGTTGTTTGCTTTTTTCTTGTAAATTTGTTGAAGTTCCTTGTAGATTCTGGGTATTAGCCCTTTGTCAGATGGATAGATTGCAAAAACTTTCTCACATTTCTGTACATTGCCTGTTCACTCTGGTGATAGTTTCTTTTCCTATGCAGAAGCTCTTTAGTTTGATTAGATCCCATTTGTCAATTTTGGCTTTTGTTGCTATTGCTTTCAGTGTTTTAATCATTAAGTCTTTGCCCACGCCTATATCCTGAATGGTATTGCCTAGGTTTTCTTCTGTGGTTTTGAGTTTTACTTTTAAATCTTTAATCCATCTTGAGTTAATTTTTGTATAAGGTGTAAGGAAGGGGTCCAGTTTCTGTTTTCTGCATATGGCCAGCCAGTTTCCCCAGCACTATTTATTAAATAGGGAATCATTTCCCAAATGCTTATTTTTGTCAGGTTTGTTGGAGATCAGATGGCTGTAGATGTGTGATGTTATTTCTGAGGCTGCTGTGCTGTTCCAGTGATCTATATATCTTTTTTGTTACCAATACCATCTTGTTTTGGTTACTGTAGCCTTGTAGTATAGTTTGAAGTCAGGTAGCATGATGCCTCCAGCTTTGTTCTTTTTGCTTAGGATTATCTGGGTTATATGGGCTCTTTTTTAGTTCCATATGAAATTTAAAGAAATTTTTTCTAATTCTGTGAAGAAAAATAATAGTAGCTTGATGGGAATAGCATTGAATCTATAAATTAATTTGGACAGTGTGGCCATTTTCACGATACTGATTTTTCCTATCTGTGAGCATGGAATGTTTTCCATTTGTTTGTGTCCTCTCTTATTTCCTTGAGCAGTGGTTTGTAGTTCTCCTTGAGGAAGTCCTTTACATCCTTTGTTAGTTGTATTCCTAGGTATTTTATTCTCTTTGTAACAATTGTGAATGTGAGTTCACTTACGGTATGGCTCTCTGCTTGTCTGTTGTTGATATATAAGAATGCTTGTGGTTTTTGCACATTGATTTTGTATCCTGAGACTTTGCTGAAGTTGCTTATCAGCTTAAGGAGTTTTGGAGCAGAAACAGTGGGATTTTCTAAATATACAATTTTGTCATCTGCAAACAAGCAATTTGGCTTCCTCTCTTCCTATATGAATACCCTTTACTTTTTTATCTTGTCTGATTGCCCTGGCCAGAATTTCCAATACTAAGTTGAATAGGAGTGGTGAGACAGGCCATCCTTGTCTGTGCCAGCTCCTGGAATCATTAATTTTTTTTTTTTTTTTTGAAGGGCTCTTCCAGTCTCTCATTCCTTCAGTTCTATTGTCATCTTAGTTGTTTCTCATCTTCTGTTAGCTTTTGAATTTGTTTGCTCTTGTTTCTTTAGTTCTTTTAATTGTGATATTAGGGTTTCTATTTCAGATCTTTCCAGCTTTCTGATATGGGCATTTAGTGCCATAAATTTTCCTCCCTTTTTTTTTAAATGGAGTCTCACTCTGCCACCCAGTGGTGGAGTGCAGTGGCATGATCTCGGCTCATTGCAACTTCCATTTCCCAGGTTCAAGAGATTCTCTTGCCTCAGCCTCCTGAGTAGCTGGGACTACAGGCACATGCCACCACGGCCAGCTAATTTTTTTGTATTTTTAGTAGAGATGGGGTTTCACTATGTTGGCCAGGATAGTCTCAATCTCCTGACCTCATGATCTGCCTTCCTCGGCCTCCCAAAGTGCTGGGATTACAGGTGTAAGCCACCACAGCCAGCCTAAATTTCCCTCTTAACACTGCTTTAGCTGTGTCCCAGAGATTCTAGTACATTGTCTCTTTGTTCTGATTGATTTCAAAGAACTTCTTTATTTCTGTCTTAATTTCCCAAAAAGTCATTACTTATTTATTATTTATCATAACTCCTGTTATTTACCCAGGAGTCATTCAGGAGCAGA